CTGCAATGTATAGGACTTTTTTTTTTGTTGTTTTGGCGGAACCAGGGATTTAACTCAGGCCCTTGGGCTTGCTAAGGAAGCGCTTATTCCACTGAGCCATCTCCCCGTCCCCAATGTATAGATTTTTAAAAATTGTGGTTAAAATATAAATAAAATCTATCACTTTTTTTTTTTTTTTTTTTTGGTGGAACTGAGGATTGAACTCAGGCCCTTGCACTTGACCAGGCAAGCGCCTGTTCTACTGAGCTATCTCCCTGGCCCCCTAAAATCTATCACTTTTAAGTATCTTAAAGTGTACAACTTGGTGGTATTAGGTACATTCACAATATGGTGTAACTGTGCCTTCTGTTTTTCGGAGGGAAGGGGTGAATCAGGGCTTGGTGTATGTTAGATATGCATTGTACCACTGATACCCCAAAGAATTTATTGAATTCCTACTAAGTACTTTTGTATGTGCTTTTTATTTTTTTGGTGGTGTTGGTGCCAGGAATTGAACCCAGGGCCTTAGCCACTGAACAACACTCCCAGACCTGGAATTATCTATTTCCCAGGGCATTTTCATTAGCCCACCCACTGCAGCTGTACTAACTTTTCCATACAGCTACACCAACTTTCACATGCCCACAGGTACTGTAGAAGTGCTTCTTGCCCCTGCATCCTGGCCAGCACTGTTTTCTATTTTTGAGAGTCATTCTGTCAAAATGTAGTTATGATTTGCAGCTCGCTAATGCTTGGCAGTGTTGAACATGTATATCTGTGCTCATTAAGCATTTTCCTCCTGTGGGCTCTGGAAATCTCTATTGTTTTCTGGCTCTACAACTTCGCCCATTCTGGAAAGCTCATGGAAGTGGACTATGCAGTCGGTGCTATCTGGGTCTGCTCATTTCACTGCACTCATCTGCCTTGTACCATGTACGAGAACATCATCATCTGATACTGAGGGATGTTCCACTGCACGGTTGTAGCACACTGTGTGTCCTGTTCATCTGCTGATGGACACCTGGGTGTTTCACTTTCTGGCTACTGTAATGCTGCTATGAACATCGGTGCACAAACCCTTGTACGCCCTGTTTTCAACTCAACCCATCTGGCAGTGGGGACCTGCTGGGAAATATGGTATCCTACGCTGAAACTTTTGAGGAATTGCTGCTTTCTACAGAAGCTATCAGTACTAGCTTATGCTGTTTCCAACAATCTTTCCAGTTCTCCCATCCTGACCAATTCATGTACAGAGGCTGATATATTTCTTTGGAGAAACATTTACTCAAGTCGTGTGCCATCTTTTAGTATTTTTTGTTCAGTTGTAGCAGTTCTTTATATATTCTTGAAAATAAACTCTTACTAGATACATAATTTGCAAATACTTTCTTCCATTGTGTAGGTTGTTGTTTACTCTCTTATTCTACTTAGCCATCTCCCTGGCCCGTTGTTTACTCTCTTAATCATGCCCTCTGTGTATGCCTTACACCTTTTAAGATGGGTCATACAGATCCATGGATTTCATGGACAGGCTCCTCCATGTGCACAGTACCGTACACTGATGGTTTTCATCCCACCCTTGTTCTGCCCCCTGCACTAACTTCACTTTCATGGGGGCTTCAATCTGTCTGTTTTGCTTGTACTCTTCCTTGTCTCACAACGGTTTCCCTCCTACTTCCTTGTCATTGTTTTAAGAGTCTACGTATTAGAGAGAATATGAGGTATCTGTCTTTCTGATCCTGGCTTATTTCACTCACCAGGGT